TCATTTTATTATTATCATTATTATTATCATCATAATTAATTAGAATAATAATTATTTATTTTTTTAAGGGTTAGGGGGTTATTTAATATTTCTTTATTATTACACATTATTAATTTATTGTATTTATTGATTATTTATGATTATTATTTATTTTACATTTATTTATTTCATTTATTATTATTTAGTAATATATTATTAAATAATAATAATGTTAATAATAATAATAAAAAAAATATTATTATTTATTAAAATTATTGTTAACATTATCATTATTGTTATTATATATATATATATATATATATATATATATATATATATTATATATAAATATATTATTGTTAAAATGATTATTAACATGATAATTATTATTATTATTATTATTATTATTATTATTATTATTAATAATAATATTATTAAATAATAATAATTATATAAAATAATATATAAAATTTTTAACATTATTTTTAATAATAATAATAATAATAATAATAATAATAATGATAATATGATAAAACATCTTAACCCTTACACAAAATAAATACATACATTCTTCTTCTTCTTCTTCTTCTTCTTCTTCTTCTTCTTCTTCTTCTTCTTCTTCATAATTAAAATTAATAATAATAAGAATTTATTTAATATTTATTTACTATTACATATTCATTTATTGTATTTATTGATTATTTATTTATGATTATTATTATTTAATTTACATTTTTTTATTCATTAATTATTATTATTAGTGTTATTATTAACACCCTAATCCTAACAAAAAAAATATTAATAATAAGAAGACACTAAATAAAATATTAACCGCACTATGCCATACTCTAACCAAAAAAAAAACAAAATAAAAATAAATGAATAATAAAAAATAAATAAAAGCTGATGGAAAAGCTAAAGAAGCTGAAAGACATAGCAACAAATGATGCAATAGATGATATTTTTCTCTATTGGCTAATGAAAAAAATGCCAAAGCTCAAAAACGCCTAAAAGACGCTGTGTAAAAAGACGCTCAAAAGTTGCACGCGAAACCGTGCGAAAAACGCTCCAGTGTGAATCCAGCCTGATATCCGCAGTACAAGCTCCGCCTTTGGACGCGTTTTCTGGTGTAATAATACTTCTGTGTCCATGTGACCGCGCTGCTTTCCATCTGCAGACATTTTCCGGATGTTCAATCCCGACATACAAGGCTTCTCCACGGGGAAAGGATTCCATGTCCTGAATCGATCGCAGCTGAACCGCGCCGTTCCGGGAGCCAAAGCAGAGTAAGACGATTCAAATGAGAAATGATGACATGCCCCGCCCCCTCCAATCACCGCCATTTTTGCTGGTACAGACAGGACCCATTTCAGAAACCGTGAGCCAAGGTGACAACCAGGGCTGCTGTTAGAAACCGCGTGGCTCCATACAACCCCCCCCCCCCCCCCCCCAAAAAAAACACAGTTTACTATGCTTCAGTTACAGTATGAATGAACACAGTGAGTGATCGGTACTGATCACTCATTGTGTTCATTCAGGAAAGAAAGGGGCTGGTAAATGTGACATATTCAGCGGACCCCTCCCCCACTCTCCATCCTGAGGGATCTCATTGTGCTGGTGGGAAGGAGAGTAGGGAAGCCGGCAGCCCTGCGGGAAGGGGGGGGGGGAGAGGGGGGGTCCCACATGGAAGAAAAATATATTTTAAATATATTTTTTAAAATATTCTTCCCGAATATAATCGACATATATCTGAAATGCTACAATTTTGGCCGTATTCAATATATTTCAATATATATAGTTTCTTTCGTTTGGTGGGATTTTATTTTTTGCGCTATAAACAAAAGAGCAAACAAATTTGAAAAAAAAAAACATTTTTCTTTGTTTCTATTATAAAATTTTGCAAACAGGTAATTTTCTCCTTCACTGAGGTGTGTTGATGAGGCTGCACTGATAGGCAGCACTGATGGGCACGGATAGGCAGCACTGATGGGCACTGATAGGCAGCACTGATGGGCACTGATAGGTGGCACTGATGGGTACTGATAGGCGGCACTGATGGGCACTGATAGACGGCATTGATGGGCACTGATGGGCACTTATAGATGGCACTGATGGGCACTGATAGGCAGCACTGATGGGCACTGATAGGTGGCACTGATGGGTACTGATAGGTGGCACTGATGGGCACTGATAGATGGCACTGATGGGCACTGATAGACGGCATTGATGGGCACTGATAGGTGGCACTGATGGGCACTGATAGACGGCACTGATGGGCACTGATAGACGGCATTGATGGGCACTGATAGGCGGCACTGATAGGCGGCACTGATGGGCACTGATAGACGGCACTGGGTACTGATAGGCGGCACTGATGGGTACTGATAGGCAGCACTGATGGGCACTGATAGACGGCACTGATGGGCACTGATAGACGGCACTGATGGGTACTAATAGACGGCACTGATGGGCACTGCTAGACGGCACTGATGGGCACTGATAGGCAGCACTGATAGGCGGCACTGATGGGCACTGAGGGGTACTGATAGGCAGCACTGATGGGCACTGATAGGCGGCACTGATGGGTACTGATAGGCAACACTGATAGGCGGCACTGATGGGCACTGATAAACGGCACTGATGGGTACTGATAGGCAGCACTGATGGGCGCTGATAGGCAGCACTGATAGGCGGCACTGATGGGCACTGATAGGCGGCACTGATGGGTACTGATAGGCGGCACTGATGGGCACTGATAGGTTGAACTGATAGGCAGCACTGATGGGCACTGATAGATGGCACTGATGGGCACTGATAGGCAGCACTGATGGGCAGCACTAATGGGCGCTGATGGGCACTGATGGGGGCGCTGATGGGCACTGATAGGGGGCACTGATGGGCACTGATAGGCAGCACTGATGGGTACTGATAAGGTGGGTACAGATAAGGTGGCAGCAGCACTGATGGGCATGGATAGGCGGCACTGATGGGCACTGATAGGCGGCACTGATGGGCATGGATAGGCAGCACTGATGGGCACTGATAGGCAGCACTGATGGGCATGGATAGGTGGCACAGATAGGCAGCACTGATGGGAATGGATAGACGGCATTGATGAGCTGGCACTGATGATGCTGCACTGATAGGCGGCACTGATGGGCATTGATAGGCAGTACTGATGGGTGGCACTGCTGGGTATAGGTGGGTGGCGCTGCTAGGGACAGGTGAGCGGCACTGATGGGCCCTGATGATCAGTGTTGATGTGTTCACTGACAATTGCTGGTTATCGGCAGTACTTTCCTGACGCTGTGACAGTGCGAGAAAAGTGCAGCCGATAACCTCCAACTGCATTTACCGGTGATCTGCTCTGTCATTGGACACGGCTGATCACGTGGTAAAAGGCCGCTATGATTGGCCTGTTACCACATCATGTGATCAGCTGTGTCCGTAGGAGATCGCCGGGTACGTGCTCCTGGAGGCACGTGGGAGGACGTCATGACGCCCTCCCAGGACTGGACATCCATGCTGTAGCCGTCATTCCTCTCTATGGCACGGATGGCAAGTGGTTAAGGGCCGGTTCACAGTATAGAAACGCAGTCCAGATGCATTTCAACATGCGTGTTTTTTGCTTTTTTGGCGCATTCTGGTTAATTTTTTATACATTTTTGATGCTTTCTGGTTCATTTTTCCCCTCTAATTTTCCTTTAATTCAAATAGGGACATGTGCATTCCGGTGCCATTTTAATGCATCTTCCTGCGTTCCAGTGCAGTTCTGTGCAGCCTGTTCTGTTTTTTTTTTTCTGCCTCCGGAACGCACCGGAACTACAATCGCTGATGTGAATGATGACACCGACAATCAGATCACCGACTTTCTGTGCGTTTTGGAGGCAGAAAAGAAGCAGCTGAAACGCATGGAGTGAACGTGAAACGCTGAAACGCATGGAGTGTGAACTGGCCTGAAACGTTTGAGAAAAACCGAACCGTGAGAAATGATTTATGTAGACGAGTCGCATTAACTGGCAGTTGGGTGACATCCAGGGGCGGACTGACAACTCATGGGGCCCCCGGGCAATAGGGGATCATGGGGCCCCTGTGTCCTTGCCCAAACTCAAAAAAGCCTATGAAAAAGGTACCAGGGGCATCTCATGGGGGCCCCCACTGACCCCGGGCCCTTGGGCAGTGCCCGAGTTTCCAAATGGTCAGTCCGCCCCTGGTGACGTCAGGTCTGGGCAGCTTCTAATGCACTTCAATGTCCTCTGGTCACGACGGGGTTAATGAAAGCCAATGGAGCGTCTGTAGTTCAGCCTGGCCTGTGATTGGTGGGATCTGTCGATGGTTCTGACCCGGTTGTGTTCCTTGCAGTGATATGCTGGAGCAGTCCGAGTACTTGGTGACGGCCATGAAGAGGATGAATTCAACAGGGGTAAGAAAACATACATTTCCATCAACGAATATAAACAGAACGACTTCTCAGCTGTGATGTAGTACAGGTTATACTTTATCTTTCCTGGCTCCTCCCTCTCCCCCCTCCCCCCCCCTTTCATCAACATGATAATGACACCTTCCATTCCCCCTTTCATTATATACTTCATTTTATTCCCAGTGATGTCATCACTGGGCCTCTGTGCTTCTCTATGCAATGCAGGCAGATCATGGCTGATTATAGGGTGCTGTACATAGCCTTCCGCCTCGGTACTCTTCTCAAGGGCCCTCAGTCCTGATGCAAGCAGTGGGATGGCTCTGGAGGGGAGTTGTGTAAATATTAAAATGCCTCAATGGGCAGGTGTCAGTCTGGAGGAGTGGGCATTCCCGGAGAAAGGCTGTATTTGCATAGGTAACGCCCACATATGATGCTGAGCCTCCGGGATTGAATAAATAGTCAGTGAAGGAAAGGGGCGGGGCCAGGAATAGTCAGACTGGGGAGGAAATGGCTAGATGATGCTGGACGTCCTTCTAATGCACATTGTGAGAAGCTCCCAGTGTGCAGTGACATCAGAGGAAGCCAGGACAGGGGAGGAGCCGATACACCTGTGCGAGACTGAAGGGGAGGAGCCGGTACACCTGTGCAAGACTGGAGGGGAGGAGCCGATACACCTGTGCAAGACTGGAGGGGAGGAGCCGGTACACCTGTGCAAGACTGGAGGGGAGGAGCCGGTACACCTGTGCAAGACTGGAGGGGAGGAGCCGGTACACCTGTGCAAGACTGGAGGGGAGGAGCCGGTACACCTGTGCAAGACTGGAGGGGAGGAGCAGGGGGGACACTTGTGCAAGATTGAAGGGGGAGGAGTCTGTACACCTGTGCAAGACTGGAGGGGAGGAGCCGGTACACCTGTGCAAGACTGGAGGGGAGGAGCCGGTACATCTGTGCAAGACTGAAGGGGAGGAGCCGGTACACCTGTGCAAGACTGAGGGGAGGAGCTGGTACACCTGTGCAAGACTGGAGGGGAGGAGCCGGTACACCTGTGCAAGACTGGAGGAGAGGAGTCGGTACACCTGTGCAAGACTGAAGGGGAGGAGCCGATACACCTGTGCAAGACTGGAGGGGAGGAGCCGGTACACCTGTGCAAGACTGGAGGGGAGGAGCCGGTACACCTGTGCAAGACTGGAGGGGAGGAGCCGGTACACCTGTGCAAGACTGGAGGGGAGGAGCCGGTACACCTGTGCAAGACTGGAGGGGAGGAGCCGGTACACCTGTGCAAGACTGGAGGGGAGGAGCCGGTACACCTGTGCAGGACTGGAGGGGAGGAGCCGGTACACCTGTGCAAGACTGGAGGGGAGGAGCCGGTACACCTGTGCAAGACTGGAGGGGAGGAGCCGGGACACTTGTGCAAGATTGAAGGGGAGGAGTCGGTACACCTGTGCAAGGCTGGAGGGGAGGAGCTGGTAGAGCTGTGCAAGACTGAAGGGGAGGAGCTGGTACACCTGTATAAGACTGGAGGGGAGGAGCCAGCACACCTGTGCGAGACTAAAGGGGAGGAGCCGGTACACCAGTATAGGACTGGAGGGGAGGCCGGAGGGAGTATCACAAATCCTTGTAGGTTCATATTTTTCTGTGTCAGGTCGGGGAGATTTTTCTTCATTTCCTGTCCTAGTGATGTTTTTATTGATCAGATATCATTCCACTGATCACTTCCTGTCATTATTGGGGTTGTTAGCAGGACAAACACCTGAGATAAAACATCCGAATTTTCAGGATTCCAGTTTAAATGCCTAAAGTGCTTCTATGTCATTTTCTGCATCATTTCTGCATTTTTATATATTTATTTATTTTTTCTGTTTGTTTTGATCAGAGAATTAATTACGCGGAAGACTGGAAACTGCTGACTATCTTCATTGGAGGAAACGATCTGTGTGGAATCTGCAAGAACCCAGTAAGTGATGGTGATACAAAAAATAATATATCTAAAGCCAGGGACATGGTGACCACATGGGCTTTCCTGCCAGGGACATGGTGACCACATGGGCTTTCCTGCCAGAGAGACGGTGACCACATGGGCTTTCCTGCCAGGGACATGGTGACCACATGGGCTTTCCTGCCAGGGACAAGGTGACCACATGGGCTTTCCTGCCAGGGACAGGGTGACCACATGGGCTTTCCAGCCAGGGACACGGTGACCACATGGGCTTTCCTGCCAGGGACAGGGTGACCACATGGGCTTTCCTGCCAGGGACACGATGACCACATGGGCTTTCCTGCCAGGGACATGGTGACCACATGGGCTTTCCTGCCAGAGAGACGGTGACCACATAAGCTTTCCTGCCAGGGACATGGTGACCACATGGGCTTTCCGGCCAGGGACAGGGTGACCACATGGGCTTTCCGGCCAGGGACACGGTGACCACATGGGCTTTCCTGCCAGGAACAAGGTGACCACATGGGCTTTCCTGCTAGGAACATGGTGACCACATGGGCTTTCCTGCTAGGAACATGGTGACCACATGGGCTTTCCTGCCAGTAACATGGTGACCACATGGGCTTTCCTGCCAGGAACATGGTGACCACATGGGCTTTCCTGCCAGGAACATGGTGACCACATGGGCTTTCCTGCCAGTAACATGCTGACCACATGGGCTTTCCTGCCAGTAACATGCTGACCACATGGGCTTTCCTGCCAGGAACATGGTGACCACATGGGCTTTCCTGCCAGGAACATGGTGACCACATGGGCCTTCCTGCTAGGAACATGGTGACCATATGGGCCTTCCTGCAAGGAACATGGTGACCACATGGGTTTTCCTGCCAGGAACATGGTGACCACATGGGCCTTCCTGCTAGGAACATGGTGACCACATGGGCCTTCCTGCTAGGAACATGGTGACCACATGGGCTTTCCTGCTAGGAACATGGTGACCACATGGGCCTTCCTGCTAGGAACATGGTGACCACATGGGCCTTCCTGCTAAACATAGTGACCACATGGGCCTTCCTGCTAAACATGGTGACCACATGGGCCTTCCCGCCAGGAACAAGGTGACCACATGGGCCTTCCCGCCAGGAACAAGGTGACCATTTGGGCCTTCCTGCTAGGAACATGGTGACCACATGGGCCTTCCCGCCAGGAACAAGGTGACCATATGGGCCTTCCCGCCAGGAACAAGGTGACCATATGAGCCTTTCTTGCTAGGAATATGTTGACCACATGGGCTTTCCTGCCAGGGACATGGTGACCACATTGGCCTTCGCACCAAGAACAAGATGACCATGTGGGCCTTCCTGCTAGGAACATGGTGACCACATGGGCTTTCCTGCCAGGAACATAGTGAGCACATGGGCTTTCCTGCCAGGAGCATAGTGAGCACATGGGCTTTCCTGCCAGGAGCATAGTGACCACATGGGCCTTCCTGCCAGGAACATTGTGACCACATGGGCCTTCCTGCCAGGGACGTTGTGACCACATGGGCCTTCCTGCCAGGAACAAGGTGACCATATGGGCCTTCCCGCCACATGCTGCTGAGTCCAGCCTATTTTTTGTCCCGTTTTGGGCCTGCCTGTAACCAGTCAAAAGTGATTTGGTCATACTTCTCTCTAATTTATTTTTAATCTTCATAGCAAACTCCCCCCTCCATCCATATCTCCATGCTGTATTGTGCTGAGAAATCACTTTGACCCCCCTATACTTTCTAGCCGCAACCATCTTGAGTAAGGGCAGATGAGTCATTTATTGCTTCAAAAAAGTCCTGGATTGTTTTTTGGATACACAGAATATAACATCTATAGGGAAAGTTGATCCAGGGAACAGGGGCGGGCTGACCATTTGGAAACTTGGGCACTGCCCGAGGGCCCAGGGTCAGTAGGGGGCCCCACGAGATGCCCCTGGTACCTTTTTCATAGGCTTTTTTGAGTTTGGGCAAGGACACAGGGGCCCTATGATCCCCTATTGCCCGGGGGCCCCATGAGTTGTCAGTCCGCCCCTGCCGGGGAATATCCGATTGCCTCTCGGGGGATCAGGAAGGAATGTTTCCCCTGTAGGAGCAAATTGGATTGTGCTTTGCTGGAGGTTTTTTTTTGCCTTCCTCTGGATCAACTGTGGGAGTAGGATTATCACTTTTTTTTTTTTCTCTATGGTTGAACTGGATGGAATTTTGTCTTTTTTCAGCCAGACTAACTATGTAACTCCTGGGATGTATGACATCATTTTGGCCTAGGCCAGACACCAGGAAGCCACTGAAGAAATGTAAAAAAAAAAAAAAAAAAAGTTGAAACAATAATTGTTGACCGAGAGAGTTCAGTTTCACATTAATCTCAAGTGTTATCTGCAGATGAGCGCGATATATTCATCCTTCTCTTTGGGAAAAAAAAAATATTTCTGAAAAAAAAAATAGTTGATGCATTAAATTTGTTTCTTTTTTTGGTCTTCATCAGGTCTATCATTCTCCTGAACAATTTGTATACAGAATCAAACAGGCCCTGGACTACCTGCAGGCGGAGGTGAGGATCACCGATCTATAGATGACGTATTGTTCATATCGCGATGTCAGCGACGTTTCAGCGTCAGTTCCTTGCATGTCGCAGTATACGGCAACAATATCATTTTCAAGAAAGTTCCGCCTTTTTATCATCAACCCCTTGCCCCCCTTCCTTCCATTTTTTGCATTACAGCACTGTGTTACTTTAACTGACAATTGCGCGGTCATGCAACAGAGAAAGAGAGAGAATCATATGTATATATATATATATATATATATATATATATATATATATATACATACACACACAGACTCATTGAACTCTCTCACTTTCTCATTGGGGGGGCACCCAATTTTCGTGTTGCCTAGGGCAGCACAAAACCAAAATACACCACTGCCGGTAAGAATAATTGTTGCCTATACAGCCGTGGCCAAACGTTTTGAGAATGACACAAATATTCATTTTCACAAAGTCTGCTGCCTCAGTTTTATGATGGAAATTTGCATTTGCTCCAGAAAGTTATGAAGCATGATCAGATGAATTACAATTGATTGAAAATTCCCTCTTTGCCATGGAAAGAAACTTAATCTAAAAAAAGACAAAAAAAAAAACAAAACAAAAAAACATTTCCACTGCATTTCAGTCCTGCCACAAAATGACCAGCTGACGTCATGTCAGTGAGTCTCTCGTTAACACAGATGGCAGTGTTGACGAGGACTAGGCTGGAGATCACTTTGTCATGATGACTGAGTTAGAATAACAAACTGGATGCTTTAAAAGGAGGGCGGTGCTTGAAATCATTGTTCTTCCTCTGTTAACCATGGTTACCTGCAAGGAAACAAGTGTAGTCATCATCGCATTGCACACAAAGGGATTCCCAGGCGAGGATATTGCTGCTACTAAGATTGCCCTTAAAGCAACCCTCAAGAACTTTAAGGAGAATGGTTCAATTGTGTTGAAGAAGGCTTCAGGGTGCCCAAGAAAGTCCAAAAAGCGACAGGACCATCAACTAAAGTTGATTCAGCTGGGGGATCGGGGCACCACCAGTGCAGAGCTTGCTCAGGAATGGCAGCAGGCAGGCGTGAGAGCATCAACACACGCAGTGAGGCAAAGACTTTTGGAAGATGGCCTGGTGTCAAGAAGGGTAGCAAAGAAGCCACTTTTCTCCAGGAAAAACAGGGACAGACTGATATTGTGGAAAAGGTCCAGGGATTGGACTGCTGAGGACTGGGGGAAAGTCATTTTCTCTGATGAATCCCCTTTCAGATTGTTTGGGGCATCTGGAAGAAACCTTGTCTGGAGAAGGAAAGGTGAGCGCTACCATCAGTCCTGTGTCATGCAGTAAAGCATCCTGAGGCCATTCATGTGTGGGGTCGCTTCTCAGCCAAGGGAGTGGAACTCATTCATAATTCTGCCTATGAACACAGCCATGAATGAAGAATGGTCCAAAAACATCCTCCGAGAGTAACTTCTCCCAACCATCCAAGATCAGTTTGGTGAGGAACAATGTCTTCTCCAACATGATGGAGCACCTTGCCAGAAGGCAAAAGTCATAACTAATTTTGTTTGGAGAACAAAACGTTGAAATTTTAGGTCCACGGCCAGGAAACTCCCCATTGAGAACTTGTGGTCAATCCTCTAGAGGCGGGTAAACAGAAAAAAACCCACAAATTCTGACAAACTCCAAACATTAATTATGCAAGAATGGGCTGCCACCAGTCAGGAGGTGGTCCAGAAGTTGACTGACATGCTGTCGTCAGGGAGAAGTGCAAAGGTCTTGAAAAAGAAGGGTCACCACTGCAAAATATTGACTCTTTGCATGAACTTC